CCCCCCCCCCCCACTTACGATGAGTGAATTGCACCACAAGAACCAAGGAACTTAAGAATTTGGGAGGATTAACCTTAAAGTTATCTAACAATGTAATCGTAAGACTGCACACAAGCAGATGTTCAAACCAGCTAATGCAATAAAACATAGTTGCTTATCCAGGGAAGAGATCACTAACGAGATGGCATTCTCATGATCACATGATCATACGAAGCCTAGTTGAAACAGGCAACTGCGTGATCACGAGGATCTGTTGTGTGTTCCGTATAATCACGGTATCATTCCTAGGACTTTGAACGACGAACCAAAAATAGAGACTCAATAAATGGACATGCAGTGACACTGAAACATTAAACCAATCTACCACTAAGATAACAGGGCACTTCACGTTCAACAGCAAGTAAACAGATGGCGAGCATGAAAAAGGGGCATACCTCTAGTCCGATAATTGTGCGATAGTAAGGATCCAGAACGATTTGGGCTAGCGAACAGACCTGAGCAGTTCGATCCCAACCGTCCGAGCAATGAACAAGGACTGAGTTGCCCTCATTTAAACGGTTGGCCACAAAAAATGCCGCTTCTAGTATGATTCGCAAATGTCGGAACCATCCAGACTTTTCAAGACCTTGATGATATTGCTCCAGTGGTATTGCAGGTTCCTGACAGACTGCAAATCAATACGAAAGGAACAACTGACTTATAACGTTATAATAATCAAAAAAAGTTCAAACGGCAGAAAGTACGTGATCGACGTGAATTTTTTTTAAACGAAAACCATCAGACAAAGTTCATCACCGGATGGTTGGAGGACAAACGTGGACCTACATGCAATGGGTTGTGCAGTAAAACCAACAGACGGACTGCTATTTATCATGCAAACACGCATGGAACCAATATGGTGTGCCGGCACAGGTTTTATTGTAATTGAAGAGGTCAGGTTGAACTGGCGTGAACCACTCATCGGACGGGGTTTTGCACATCTTGACTGAAACATGAGACATGTCTGGATAGCATCAGATGCGTCAGGTGAATGACCTGAATAAACCAACCGGACCGTGGAGCTTAAACCGAGTACGGTGCTGGTTCGTGCAATGCTTTGCAATTTGTACAGATAAAGGACAGTAGATGAATCAATCGTATTGGGTTTGATCAACACGGACCAACACGAGCAGTGACCTTAGATGACTCTGGACAAACTTCTTGCTAAGATTTCACACGATAATGAAAACACTGAAAGTTGGATCCAGACCGAAATAAATGAGATCTGACGACAATATCTTTGACTTCGAACAGGAATGAGACAAAGTACCAGAGATCACTTGGCATCGCTGGGAAAAATGAATGAAACTGCAGCAACTATGAGCGGTAAAAAAACGGGGGAAGCACTCCATTGTTCACTTCATTAAATTTTTATTCCTCTAATAAAACCGACCGATATCATTTGTGTACTTTTGAATCACCAAGCAAAACTGACTAGATGAATTCCAGAGTGGTTAATATTGTTCCTTCTGTTCAAATTGAAAATCTATAAATGCCAATCATGAAGCATGATCGTGTGACATCGACCAAATAGTCTTCAGTTTAGCCTCAGGGTGACTTTGACAGTTCTGAAAACGATTATTCGTCTGGTCAGTAAAGCAATCAGTTTTCTCATTCTTCGTATTGGAGTTTTCTGTGTTTTAAATCAAAAGACTCACGACGGTATCTACTAGGTACACTTCTCCATGTATAAATTATCCGTTCTACGCAAACGAAGGACTTTCATCTGTATTTAGGTATAGGCAATTTGATTCAGTCTTCCAGCGTAACGGGTCAAAAAGAAATCGTCATTACAGAGCTATTCAAGTTATCTTTCCGGCAAGTGCAACGTGACAAAAGAAGCCAGACGTTCGAGGGTTATCATTATTGCCACTGCTACGATAGTGCATATGAAACCAATAGACGAAACGCTTTTCTCATCTTTACAGACTGCATCTTCCCACACAAATCCCAGTTTATCCAGCTAGAGTAGTGAACACCCAGGGCATAAGTGTTGAGGATGTTATCACTGATTTTGAGGAAAACCATCCGGAGTTCAGAAAATTGGACGGCCTTACGTTTAACACGATCGAGAAGAGAAAAAGCGGAATACGAAGCTCCACCGGATAGGTGACTAGTTTTCGAGCATTGGGCCGGTTCAAGTTTTGTATAAAACGAGACGCTTGGGTCTGAAGAAGAGTCTAGTAGCTACAACACAAGCTACAATACGAGTCGAATCCAAACGTGGGTAATTTCGACTGCAGATATTTGTGTTAAACGCAGTAGAAGACCTTTGAAGTGTTGAGTGAGACCAAATGAATTTCCCCGTGGTTATGAGTTGATCGGGAATGCGAGGTGAGAGCCAGTAGGCCACCCATGGATCGACGCGGGCGAAATCCGTATTTGCGGTTATTAAAAAAGACCTTAGTGTTCGAGAAAAGCAGGCGGCTAGTTGGAGATAATGGTTTCAAAACCTCTCGAAAATAACAGAAGTGAGAGCGGTAGGATGATAGTTGTTGAGACCGGAATGGTCACCACACTGTCGGATAGAAAAAAGTGTCCTTTTTCCATGGCGTAGAGAAAGATTTGAGATAAAATGAAGAACAGAGAAGGCGGCGTAGAATAGGAGTTAACTTCGGGATGATAGGTGGAATACCGTCCGGACCAGGTGGTTTATAAACATCTCAACCCCAAAGGGTTTAGTGGATCTCTCTCGTTGCCATGAAATGTAGAAAGGAGTGGCTGGATGTATCAGAGGCGAGCTGAAGAGTAGAGTTAGCAGATATGGTGAACTTGAAGGTAAACTGGGAAACGAATACCGCCTTTTCGTGGGGTTCACAAGTAAGAGTACCAAAGGAACTGAAAATGGGAGGGAAGGAAGGAAGAATGGGAGGGATGGAAGGACAGAAATTACGTAGAACTGTTTTAGCGATGGACCAGAATATTCGGTTACCAGTGGTGGATGAAACCAGGTGCTCTCCTTTGTGGTGAACGAAGCGTTCCTTATATCGCTGCATGGTGAGCCAGGATTGGTTTCTGGCTTGCACGAAGCGGTTGAGGGGTGTTGGGTTGGGTGAGCGGAACCAACGATGGAATGCTGTTTTTAAAACGTACAGTACGGTTGCAAGCATGGTTATGGTTTACCGGGATTGGAAAAGAGTGAAATAGAAAAATACACACAGTAGTGGAAATATCAGACCTGAAACGGCAATCGCTCCAGGGATAACAAGCCAGAAAGTCCAGTTGGCTGAATCGTAGCGTCGAAAGGTGCGTCTGGAACTGGATGGCGAAACAGGGTGAGAAAAGAGTGAGAAAGGAAATGAGGCAAGGGTTCAATGATCCTCGAAGAAAGAGGGAAGCGAAAGAGAAAGAAGAGGGAACAGATGTGAGAATGAGGTCAAGAGTATGAGCGCAGTCAGCAATACAATCAGGGATGCATGTGGGGAGACCAACTCGAATAAGTTTGTTGACCACATCAAAAGCCGCAGCTTCGCATCTTATGAACGGAGTGTATAAGGAGTGCATCATCCATTCCTTGTTGTGGATATTGAAATCTCCGACAATGGTGATTTGGCGGTTGGGATCTGCCGCCTTTTAACTTTGAAGATAGAATATCAAATAAAGATACATCACTGTTGCCTGGGGAAAGGTAAATGAGGCAAAAATAGTGGTTTCAAGAGGAAAATGGAAGTTTCAGTTACATAAGCCGGAATTCATGGTTGGAGAAATCGAGGTGTGAAAATCGGAAAGAAGAAAGGAAGCATAGAGAAGGTAATTAGGGAAATGAAGATGATGTCTGTCAGGGGGGAAATTTGTGTTTCGGTCGAAAAATAAAGTCCTAGAGAGGGAAAAGATTGGAGAAAGTGGTGTACAGAACTAGCATCTCGATTCGAACCCCGATTGGTAGTGAGGGCCATGAGAGAGTGGCTCGTGTTTGCAGATAGAGGGCGCATTCGACGGCTCATGTGAGTTTTATTGTTCATGTGTGGTGTGAGAGAAGATCGGCAATCCAACCACCAGACGTGGAGTGGTGAACCACATAAGCTTCAATAGATTGGGTGACATAGTGAGCTGGGTGACAGCAGGGTTGCCTAACACATGCACAGGGGATGGGTTCAACCTTGATTGCGGTACAAATCGGGAGATCCTCAAACCATCGCATGGCAATGAATGGGGTCACCTATGTCGGGCTGATTTGCAGGTTGGTTGATACGCAATAACCACTATGTCTCGCTTGAGACTTGTTGGATCTATCTTAATCTTCATGCATCTGACAGTTAGTCAAGGAGGACGGATTTAGACAGTATAAAAATGCTAAGCAAGGGAAGTAACTACAAGCGAAGTGTCCTGAGCGATTACCTTGTCTACTACTGATGAACCTATCTAACCCTTTATCATAACTAGGACGAGTTTTATGATAAACTCACCAAACTCATTCGGTTGAGACGAAGCTCCGATATAGTTGTTCTCGCAGGCGATTTTAACGCTCAAGTTGGAAAACTGAGCGCATCGGAAGCTTGTCTAGGCGGTCATTGTACTCTGCCCTATCAGCGAACAGATAATGGCGATCGACTTATTCAATTCTGCGCGGACCATCATCTGTTCCTATCCAGTACCAACTTCCGACACAACTCTCAACGGACAGCCACATGGTGCAAAAATTCAACTGGCATGTTAACTCAAATCGACTCATAGCAGTAAGCTACCGTTGGCGTGGCTCAGTACAAAACTGCGGGTCCCATTGGACCACCTGCGTTGCATCTGATCATGCGTTAGTTTCGATACACTTTACTCTCCAACTCACTGGTGGCAGAAAATCCCACCAAACTCGATTGGCAGATCATCGTTTATCTGGCCCAGCTCTTCGTGCCCGTTGTGAATCAGAAATAGGGCAAGAGCTAAACGCACTGCGGGGTGGTAGTGTAAATGAACAAATTAGCCGAGCAATGCACTCCGCAGCGAAGGTTGCATGTGGATCGGAAGCGGTAGTCCGAGCGAGGCATTGGATATCTGATGATTCAGTAGCACTGATGGAGAAAAAGCGGCAAATCCCAACCACCCAGGATCAAAGCAGGGTTAGGTGGCGTCTACAAAGTCATCTTACGAGGAGCCTCAAGAAAGACCGTGAGAACTGTTGGGCAACGATAGCTAGTGAAATGGAAGTAGTAGATGCATCAGGGAATAGTCGGAGACTGTTCCAACAGATACGCAATACAGTTAGAGACAATCTGCGACAAAAGCGGACAGGCTATTCACAATAAGGAACAACGGCTCGAACGGTGGGCGGAGTACTTCAACGAGCAGTTCGGCTGGCCAGACGCTAACCAGGCTATCTCCTCCGGTGAAGCTGAGGCTCCATGGGCAGTATCATCTGAACTTCCTACTGCAAGAGAAGTTCATTCTTGCATCCAAGCCCTGAAGAAAAAGCAGCAGGGCCGGGCGGGCTTCCTTCCACTTCTTTCAAGATGGGGGCGATGACCTTGTAGACTCCATTACTGACCTAATGCGTGAAATCTAGTCACACGAGCGCAGTCCATCGTCGTGATGTAAATCACAGATCGTTCAAATTTTTAGAAGGGATCTCGCAACGACTGCGCAAACCACCGCGGAATAAGTTTGATCCTAATCGTCACCAAGTTACTAGCCTCCATTATACTTAGACGTCTGACTCCGTTTAGGGAGACAAACATCCGCGAACAACAAGCAGGATTTCGACCAGGCCGCGGTTGTATCGATCAAATTTTCACCGTGCGTTAAGTCCTCCAGCTATGTCATACGCACCGTCGACCAACGGTTGTCGTGTTCCTCGACCTAAAAAGATCCTTCGACTTAGTTGACCGCGAATCCCTTATGGGTTCGCTCCTTCGCAAAGGAATGCCGCGGGAGTATGTGAACATACTGAGTTCAATCGACTCACATAATTCTGGTAGCATAAGGGTCTACGGTGAGCCGAGCAGGTCGTTCGTAACTAAGAGCGGTATTCGTCAAGGGTGCCCTATTTCGCCATGCCAGATCCATTTCATCATAGACGAAATACTGGAGAACGCACTTAGTGGTCTCCAAAATGTAGACATTGAATGGGCAGCTGGAAAAAAGCTGTGCGATTTGGAATACCCTGACGACATCGTCTGCCTGTTCGAATGTATGGAAGACGCACAAAGAGCACTTGACAGATTATCAAGTTCTGTCGCTCCGTTCGGCATGTGCTTTGCACCTTCAAAGTGCAGAGTGGTGCTACAAGACTGTGTGTCACCGAGTTCTATTCTGAAACTAGACGGTCAGGAATTAGCTGAAGTTGACTGGTTCTCGTACTTAGGTAGCTGCGTGACCAACGACGGTAGCGCATCAAAGGAGATAACCGCCCGC